TGATTTTCGAATTTTTGGTTTCACCAATCCATTTTAATTTGTTTTCAATTTTGATTTAAGTGGCATATGCTCTTCACTTAAACAACAAGTAATTTTTAAGCAACAAAACAAAACCGACTTCAATTCTCATATAAAAATATATATATATATATATATATATTTCATTATCCAATGATCGGATCTAAACCCGATTAGTATGGGACCACCGCTGAGACGTGGAAAAAGCACCAAGAATTCACAAGGCGAACTTGGCACAGTCCGTAGACAACTTTTTCTTATAATTTGCAACTTCAAATCGGTGACAACACTGTTTGCATCAGGCGCGTGAGCGATTAATTCTCTGCATTCTCTAATCGTTTAGCAAAATTGAAATATATGATTGTGTGAGCTTTGACCACCTCTGTTGTTGTTGTTGTTGTAGCGGCACTACTAAGCCCCGCTTTTTTCGGGTTTACGTTCAATCATTTTCGTCAAGCTCAACTAACGGGAGGCCCAGAAAACGAGCTGTTTCAATGGGTTCGGACTAGAGGGAGAGGTGGTTGGTGTCGTGGGGGGATTCTCCACATGCGGGGCACTCATTGGGGGTATTGGGGTCGAGTCTGGACAGGTAGCTGTTGAGGCGGCTACAGTATCCAGACCGTAATTGAGCCAGGGTAACGCGGGTCTCTCTTGGCAATTGCAGCTCCGTCTCTTCTACAGGTGGTAATTGGGCTCCTATTACGGCATTCATAGGTCGAGAGTCGAGGTAGGTGGTAACTGACTCTCTATGGATGTCGTTGATGGCTCGTCTGTATGTCGTCGGGTCCAGTGGTTGGGCTACGTATTGTTGGACTGCGTCCTTGTATACGAATAGGTGCCCCTGATGTGCCTGGGCGGAGGCTCCTCCTGAAGCAAAGGTCTGTTTGGGTTTTCACTTCTGTGACACCCCACCTGAAATTGCTTACAAAGCATTTTGTTGTGTTCCCTTACGCGGAGCACTTGGGCCTCGCTGTGTAGGTGGTGCTCAGGCGTCATCAGAAGGCACCCAGTCGCTGTCCGGAGTGCGGTGTTCTGACAAGTATGTAGCTTCGTCCACTGCGTCCAACTAGTCCCCGGCGTTCAAACTGGCGCAGCATAGTTTAGAACCGGCCGGCCAATTGCCTTGTATGTTGCCAGCAACGTTTCTTTGTCTTTGCCCCAAGTGCTGCCGGCGAGCGACTTGAGGACCTTGTTGCGGCTCTGTACTTTATTGACAACTGCGGTTGTGTGCGTGGAGTAGGAGTGCAGGCTATCGAAGGTGACCCCTAAAATTTTCGGGTTGTTTACAGTCGGTATTGGTGTGCCATCGACGTGTATACCTAATTCTAGCCTGACCTCCTTCGTCCAGGTGGTGAAGAGGGTCGCCATTGATTTCGTTGGGGAGAGTGTTAGACTCCTTGCAGTGAAGAAGCGAGAAAGGCTGGAGAGACAGTCGTTCACCTTTGAGCAGAGGTCATCAATTCCATTTCCGGACGCCAAAATCGAGCAATCGTCAGCGTATGAGATCAGGGAAACTCCCTAAGGTGGTTGGGGAAGCTTCGAGATGTAGAATTTAAATAGTAAGGAGGAGAGAACACCACCTTGTGGCACCCCTTGTTTAATCCTTCTTGGTTTCGAGGTTTGATCTCGGAAGATTACTGACGACTGTCGAACACTCATATAATTCGCCGACCATTGCTTCAGTCCCTGTGGGAGTGAGGAAGCCTCAATGTCTTCTCGAATGACAGACGGTGTCAAACGCCTTTGACAAGCCCAGCGCTACTAGGACCGTTCTCTCACAGGGGCGGTTTCGATTTACATTTCGATACATTTCTGTATGTAGTTGAAATAACGATTTTTGAATTGTAGCAAATTGAAATAACACCTTTGTTTTGAATGTAATTGAAAATAAATGTGTGTGTAATCGAAAAACATAGGTATTTTACTTCCATTAAATTATTTAGCATTTTTCTATGTAAGTGAAGTAACGAATTTAGTTTTGAATGTAATTTATAAACGTTTTCGTATGTTATTGAAATAACTCATTTTTTATGTATTTTTTTTATAATTTCTTATGTAATAGAAAAAATGAATTTTTTAAATGTAATTTTTAAAAAATGTTGTATGTAGTTGAAATAACTATTTTTTTGGAATTTTTAAACATTTTTGTATGTAGTTGAATAAAGATTTTTTTTTACATTTTTGTATGCAATTGAAGTAACGATTTTTTTGATGTAATTTTTAAATATTTTTGTATGTAGTTGAAATAACGTTTTTTTTTTTGAAATTTTTAAAGTTTTTTGTGTAATTTTTAAACATTTTTGAATGCAATTTAAATAACAAATTTTGTTTTGAATGTGATTTTTAAACATATTTGTGTTGAGTTGAATAAAGATTTTTTAATGTAATTTTCAAACATTTTTGAATACAATTTAAATAATGAATATTGTTTTGAATGCAATTTGTAAACATTTTTGTATGTTATTGAAATAACGATTTTTATTTAATGTTTAAACATTTTTGTATGTAATTGAAATAACGATTTTTATGTAATTTTTAAAAATTTTTGTATGTAGTTGAAATAACGATTTTTGAATGCACTTTGTAAACATTTTTGGATGTGGTTGAAGTAGTGAATTTTGTTTTAAATGCAATTTGTAAACATTTTAGTATGTAGTTGAAATAACGATTTTTTTGGAATTTTTATACATTTTTTGTATGTAGTTTTTAAACATTTTTGTATGTTGTTGAAAAAACGATTTTTGGATGTGGTTGAAGTAATGAACATGATAAAAATATAGTAAGGTAGAACCGCTGAGAGTCACTTTTAAAATTCTTGACGTTTCCAAACAATTTAATTTTTAAATTTACTCACAAACTCACACACACATCTTCATTTTCAATCTCAAGCAACAATAATTTCGAACAATTTCAATTTTTTATTTTCACTTTTATATGATTTTAAAATGTTGGCAAACTTCAAAAAAAAATCATGGCCGACAAATTGAGAGAACGGTTCTACCTTGCTATGGTTTTATCATGGTAATGAATTTTGTTTTAAATGCAACTTGTAAACATTTTAGTATGTAGTTGAAATAACGATTTTTTTGGAATTTTTATACATTTTTTGTATGTAGTTTTTAAACATTTATGTATGTGGTTGAAAAAATGATTTTTGAATGCAATTTGTAAACATTTTAGTATGTAGTTGAAATAACGATTTTTTTTTTGAATTTTTATACATTTTTGTAAGTAACTGAAATAACGACTTTTAATGTAATTTTAAAAAAATTTTGTATGTAATTGAAATAACGAGTTTTTTGTAATTTTTAAACATTTTTGTATGTAGTTGAACAAAGATTTTTTAATGTAATGTTCAAACATTTTTGTATGTAATTGAAATAACGATTTTTATGTAATTTTTAAACATTTTTGTAAGTACTTGAAATAACAATTTTTTTGGAAATTTTATACATTTTTATAAATAATTGAATAAAGATTTTTTAATGTAATTTTCAAACATTTTTGTATGTAATTGAAATAACGCATATTTTTGTAGGTGTGTAATTTTAGAAAATTGTTTTGTTTCAAATTCTGTAATTAATTTATTTTTTTAAAGGAGTTTCAAAATTTTTGCAAATACATTATCTGTTGAAAAAACTCTTCCTCTTCCAGACCACTCATAAATAAAAGTTTGTCAAGGTAGTGACTGGAAATCCTATTTCGTTTTTCGGTTACAATGGCACTAGCTTTTGAAAATAAACGCTCACACGGTACGGATGATGCTACACATGTAAGATAAGAACGAGCGATTCGGTGAAGAGCTGGAAACCGTGATTGCATTTTATTCCATTCTTCTAATGGATTGCAATCCAGTGGTGAATTTAACATGCTCAAATACTGTGAAAGCTGATCCTTCACGTTAGTTTTATTTGTCTTTTCTTGATGCATGAGTAAATCTGTGAGATGTTCCCAAAAGTTTTTAGTAATTTCTCTTACCTTACATATCATTTTGGCTAAAGCAGAAGCATTTCAGAAATGCAAGGTTTTAGAGCGAGGATCTAGCAAAGTCGCTATTGCTATGTGTGAATTTCGTTCTATTTGACCAAAGCGTTTATTGATTTGAAAAAGCAATACGGTTGACATTTCTTGAACTAGAGTATATGATGAAGTAATTCTTTCGATTTGCGAAATCAAACAACCCACCATTGGTATTACTTTAGAAATTGAAACATTTTTCAGAAGATGCTTCTCTGGTTGAAAACTCTAAGGGCTTTAATACCAATAACATGTGTTTAATGCATTCAATATCTCTCCCTAGAGGCATTTCAGGGCTGCTGGTACTAGCCAGTAGAACTTCTGAACATTCGTGCACTAACTCCAAAAACCGCTCCAACATATAAAATGTCGAGTTCCAACGTGTTTTAACATCTAAAATCAATTTTTTTTTTGGGCTTGTCTACATCTCTTTGGACTTTTCGGAGCATATCAGAATTTTTTACACCATTTTTTATAAAAATTACTACTGCTCTAACTTTTTTGAGAACTATTTGTACGTCTTCAATTTTGAGCACAGCTTCAGCATACAAATTAAGTGTGCGCAAAACAAGGCAGATGGTTTGTTGCTCCTACAATGGACTTTACTGCGTTAACAATATTTCCGGCGTTGTCAGTAACAATGTATCGAATTTTTGGGGCATTTATTTCCCATTCAAGTAAAATTTCATTCAAAACAAGGGAAATATTTCCTGAAGTGTGCGAAGTGCTCAAAAGTTTTGTTTATAAGTTCCATGATTTGACCTGTGTTCCCTGCAAATAGTGCAACGTAACCCCCAAATAGCTTTTTTCGGACATGGTTTCGGTCGAAATATCACAAGTCAGGCAAAAATGTTCAACTTCTTGAATTGATTTTGAAAAGCTATTTACATAATTGCAATAATTTAGAACTAAACTAGTTAGAACTAAAACCAGTTACCAAAGAATTTATTAAAGCTCACCTCCTCTTTACCGATTCAAACTTTTTTGTCAACTGCTGTTTAAAATATGTTGGACCCGGCACTTTATAACGCGGCGCGACTTCCTTCATAAGCCGCAGGAACCCCTTTCCTGCATATTAAATAAATTAAAACTTTTCTTTTATATATAAAAAACCGTTTACCTGAGACCATGTTAAAAGGCTTTATATCTTTGCAGATGAAATACAAAATCGTAGACGAAATATTTTCAAAATTTTTCTGGCCTTCTGCAATTAAAATTAAATAGAAAACATAAGTCCTACAGTAATTTAAATATTAAAGACAAATAGCCTTATTCATAAAAAATAAAGTAGCTTTAAAAAAGGTTTATAAATTGAAAAATGTATGAAAACGTCAATTTATAAAGCTCTTTAAACCTACTTTATTTTTTATGAATAAGGCCAAAATAATTTACGATGTTTCAAAAAACAACATAAAATCAAACTGGCAAAAGGGGATTCAAAATATGTGCTAAAGTACCAACTTACGCTGAAGTTTCAAAATGGCAGTTTTAATTGCTGGTGTTTCCTCATTATGCTCTTTGGTTGTTTTTAGTGCAGATCTTGTTGGCTGCTATCATTGTTGTTTTCTTCAACAATGACTACGTCCTCATTTGTGTTTGATGATCTTAACAAAAATGTTAAAACATATCGACACCTGAAGGGAAAATTGACCTATCTCGGCAGCCAGTTCGAAAACGCCCTATCTCAAATGAAAATACATCGAAAATGTGCTGAGATAGGTCGTTTTTGAATCGGCAGCTGAGATAGGGTGTTTTTGAACCGAGTTCTGAGATAGGGTGTTTTCGAACTGGCTGCCGAGATAGGTCGATCTTCTACTCAGGTGGAATATGAAAATCTTTAATAAATATACATATATAATACGGACACGAGTTTGACCAGTTCTGGATATTTTTCTTTTGTTTAACATTTATTATTTTTTTTACAAAAATACAAAAAAAAATAAATAAATAAATTCAAATTTTTATATAAAACAAATTCTTACAAAAAACTTTTTATTAAGAATTTTCGGAAAAATTCTAAGTATGCAGTTTTATAGCCCATTACCAAAAATAAATGCGAATTTTTAGCCACGACGTTTACTGAAGATCAACAACACAAACGCCAATATTTGGTTTAATAAACAGTGTATTGCTATGAATATTATACCAAAGTACGCACAAATGAAACCGAAATCAAAAACAGCAGCGAGTCAGAAAATTGTTAGGAGATCCGAGAACAACTACATCCAATGTGAATTAAAAAACTTGCACGCCAAAAAGGAACATACAAATGCGGAGCTATTGGCCATCCACCTAACGTTAGCGGAGCATCTGCCAGTCCAAACCCTGATGGAAATAATAGAGAAAATAAAAGCCAATAATAAAAAATTCATGAAGAAGAAGTATGAAAGGTTGAACAAGAAACTGGTTAACTTGAGGACGAAGCAAAGCAACCACAAAATCATGAAAGATGCAGAACAGAAATTCCACTCCCGATTTGTAAACTTGACGGAGGTTTACATCAATGAGCAAGAAGCAGAACTATTGAAAAAAGGCTTCAAACACAACATTGAAAGTTACAACCGAAAGAGGGAACTTGAACAAACTATCGTGGATACTGAAGTTATTATATCACGGCTTCCAACTGAAGAATAGGAGCACGCCAGACACATATGTCGGCACATAATTGAAAAAGACATAAATGCCAAGAAAACTAGGAAGCAGAAGAACGAAAACCAAACCATAAAAGGGCTCAAAGAAAAGCTAAGGGCAAACAATGTTATAACCACAAAAGCAGACAAAGGCAATATCACCGTATTAATTGATAAAAAAGATTACATAGAGAAAACTGAAAATCTAATAACTGAAATTCTTCTTCTTCTTTTTTGGCGCTGTAACCGCCTAAGCGATTTTGGCCGAGTTCAGCAAAGCACGCCAGTCGTTTCTCCTCTGTGCCAACTGACGCCAATTGGAAACGCCAAGTGAAGCCAAGTCCTTCTCCACCTGATCTTTCCATCGCAGTGGGGGTCTCCCTCTTCCTCTGCTACCACCAGCGGGTTCCGAGTTGAATACTTTCAGAGCTGGAGCGTCGGTGTCCATTCGAACGACATGACCAAGCCAGCGGAGCCGCTGTATTTTAATTCGCTGCACTATGTCCATATCGTTGTAAAGCTCATACAGCTCATCGTTCCATCGTCTGCGGTACTCGCCGTCGCCAACGCGTAAAGGACCGTAAATCTTCCGCAAAATCTTTCTCTCAAACACCCCAAGAGCCGCCTCATCGGATGTTGTCATTGTCCATGCTTCTGCGCCATATACCAGCACGGGCATGATGAGTGACTTATAGAGCGTGGTTTTCGTACGTCGAGAGAGGACTTTACTCCTGAATTGCCTACTCAGTCCAAAGTAGCACTTGTTGGCAAGAGTGATTCTACGTTGGATTTCAATGCTGACATTATTATCGGTGTTAATGCTGGTTCCCAAGTAAACGAAATTCTCTACTTTCTCGAAATTGTAACTGTCAACAGTGACGTGGGAGCCAAGGCGCGAATGTGCTGACTGTTTGTTTGATGACAGGAGATACTTCGTCTTGTCCTCGTTTACCACCAGACCCATGCGCTTTGCTTCCCTATCCAACTTGGAAAAGGCAGAACAGACTTCGCGGTTTTTGTTACCGATGATGTCGATGTCATCGGCATAAGCCAGCAATTGCACGCTCTTGTAGTAAATTGTTCCTGAGCGGTTCAGTTCTGCAGCTCTTATTATCTTCTCCAACATCAGATTAAAGAAGTCACATGAAAGGGAGTCGCCCTGTCTGAAACCCCGTTTTGTGGCGAACGGCTCGGAGAGGTCTTTTCCAATTCTGACGGAGCTGGTGGTATTGCTCAACGTCATTTTACACAGCCGTATGAGTTTTGAGGGGATGCCAAATTCAGACATAGCGGCGTATAGGCAACTCCTTTTAGTGCTGTCAAAAGCGGCTTTAAAGTCGACAAATAGGTGGTGAGTGTCGATCCTTTTCTCGCGGGTCTTTTCCAAGATTTGGCGTATTGTGAATACCTGGTCTATGGTGGATTTGCCAGGTCTAAAGCCACACTGATAAGGCCCAATCAGTTCATTGACGGTGGGCTTCAGTCTTTCACACAATACGCTCGATAAGACCTTGTAACCTATGCTTAGAAGGCTGATCCCGCGGTAGTTGGCGCGAATGGCGGGGTCACCTTTCTTGTGGATTGGGCAGAGCACACTTAAATTCCAGTCGTCGGGCATGCGTTCATCTGACCATATTCTGCACAAGAGTTGATGCATGCACCTTATCAACTCCTCGCCGCCGTACTTGAATAGCTCAGCTGGCAGGCTGTCAGCTCCAGCGGCTTTGTTGTTTTTCAGCCGCGTTATTGCTATACGTACCTCGTCATAGTCAGGCGGTGGAACGTCGACTCCGTCATCATCGACTGCAGGCTCGGGTTCTTCTTCTCCACAACTTTCCGTGCTGCTACCATTTAGTAGGGCGGAAAAGTGTTCCCTCCATAATTTAAGTACGCTCTGGACATCAGTTACTAGGTCGCCATTATTGTTCTTACAGGAGTGCGCCCCGGTCTTTAAACCTTCCGTAAGTCGCCTAACTCTCTGGTAAAATTTTCGGGCATTCCTCCTGTCGGCCAGCATTTCAAGCTCTTCGCACTCACGTATTTCTGCCTCTCTCTTCTTGTTGCGGCAAATACGTCTCGCTTCCCTCTTCAGATCCCTATAGCGGTCCCACATAGCGCGCGTTGCGCCCGATCGCAGCGTGGCCCTGTAGGCGGCATCTTTTTTCTCTGCAGCTTCCTGACACTCCTCATCGTACCAGTTGTTCTTTCGGGCTCGCTGAAATCCGACTACTTCTTCGGCGGCGGTACTTAATGAGCGGGAAATGTGGTTCCACTGCTCGCATATGTCGGTTTGTTGAAGAGTGCTCTCTGAGAGCAGGTGTGAGAGTCGAGTAGCGAAAGCGCTGGCTGTCTGTTGTGATTGCAGCTTTTCGACGTTAAGCTTTCCTTGCATATTTGGGCGCACATTTTTTGCTGCACAGAGGCGGGTGCGTATCTTGGCTGCAACAAGATAGTGGTCCGAGTCGATGTTTGGGCCTCGGAGTGTGCGTACGTCTAAAACACTGGAAGCGTGCCTTCCGTCTATCACAACATGATCGATTTGGTTTCTCGTTTTTCGATCCGGAGACAGCCAGGTAGCTTGATGGATCTTTTTATGCTTGAACCTAGTACTGCATACTACCATGTTTCGGGCCCCGGCGAAGTCGATCAGCCTCAATCCGTTGTCGGACGTTTCGTCGTGGAGGCTGAATTTTCCGACGGTGGTTCCAAAGATCCCTTCTTTGCCCACCCTGGCATTGAAGTCGCCAAGCACGATTTTGATATCATGACGGGGGCAGCGCTCGTACGTGCGCTCCAAGCGCTCATAGAAGAGATCCTTGGATGCCTCATCCTTCTCTTCCGTCGGGGCATGGGCGCAGATGAGCGAGATGTTGAAGAATCTCGCTTTGATGCGGATTGTGGCTAGACGCTCGTCCACCGGGGTGAACGACAGTACTCGGCGACGGAGTCTCTCTCCCACCACAAATCCAACTCCGAATTTGCGCTCCTTTACATGGCAGCTGTAGTAGACGTCGCAAGGCCCCAGACATTGTTTGCCTTGCCCCGTCCAACGCATTTCTTGGATGGCGGTGATGTCAGCTTTTGTCCTTACGAGGACATCAACCAGCCGGGCAGAGGCACCTTCCCCATTAAGGGTCCGGACATTCCAGGTGCATGCCCTCAAATCGTAGTCCTTTAAACATTTGCCGTGGTCGTCATCATAAGGGGGGGTCTCATCCGAGGCTTTGCCTTGCTTCTTCACTGGAAGTGGTTTTTACGTGGCGGGTCCCAAGCCCAGCGCACAACCCATTGCTGGGACGGGGGTGGTTTCGCAACCAAATACACGTTTATATAGCGAGCCGCTTGCTCCAAGCAGACACCCGCTTGCAGCCGCACCTACTGGTGAACAGACGCTGCAGACTTCAGTGAGCCCTTAAACCGAATAAGTCAGAGTGGCCCCACCGAAGCTCCCTCTCTTTCTGCCGTGACCCAAGGCTCCACTCGGATTGGTTACCGCATCTCGCACATGGGTTGCTCACGTTGCCCAGAGTGCGCGAACGAGGACGCAAGAGTCGGGATTGAGTATAGCCATGCAACTGTAACTGCATACCCAGCGCAATGACTATACCCCATTGCACTCCAATGACTATACCCCATTGCACTCCCTAACTGAAATAGGGTGCAATAAATTGGGAAAAGATCCCACTGAAGAATACAATAAAGAATACCATAAAGAAAAGCACAACCATAATAAAGGATAATCTACCATATAGATTAACACTTATGAACCCGATTGTCCCTCCGTTGATTGCCTTGCCGAAGACACACAAACCAGGCAACCCGATGAGACCTATCATTAATTACAAGTCTGCTCCCGGATACAGACTCTCCAAGCACCTAAAGACGCTGCTGAAGGATAGTCTGGATCTACGCAATAAATATACTATT